CATCCATAAACAAACATAATGTTGTTTCATTTTTCATCCAAAAAAAAATAAACAAACATAATGTAAAATATTCATTAAAGCAGCGGAAACATTAATACAAGTGTTCAAGCCACACTTGGCAAACTTAGGCATATAAGCCCCCTAATAATTACTCCCTCCGTCCCGCAATGAACTTCCCACTTTCCTTTTTTGGATGTCCCAGAAACAAGTTCCCATTTCCTTAAATGGCAAGTTAATCTACATCAAAACAGTGTCAAACAGTGCCAAACAGTGTCGAAACAGTGTCAAACAGTGTTGAAACAGTGTCAAAACAGTAAAATTTACCCCATGGTAAGTTTATTTCCTTAATATGTGTGTAGGTCAAACTGTGAAGTTCATTGTGGGACGGAGGGAGTATTCATAAAACATTATCCATGAGCATTTATATAATTTTTTTCAAAACAGAAACGGAGGAAGCACGAACCGCGTCTTCTCTCCTAGATATCCCCGACGCAACGGGCGTCAGTAGCAAGCTTCAACTTCTACCTGAAAGTGTGAGGTGGCCTCCCCCGTCAAGGGGAGGTTAGTACTTTGAAGCATTTGAAACGTACAATGACAACTACACTGTAAATTAACAATGTTTCAATCTCTAAGATCCTCAATCTAGGGTGATATTATAGTATAGGTCGTAACCCTCAGTTACCCTTTTTGAAAATATACTTACTGTATATATAAAGTCAAGTAGTCAGCACGTGGGCCCATATTTATTTAAAACGCCTATCCTCATCCCACGTAACTACTAGTCACAATTATCATATATTTATAGTAATTTATTACGTCGTTCTAGGATTTACCTTAACGCGTTACTTCACTATTTCGGAACCCCGTTACTTATTATAATTACACCATGCTAGAGCCTCGTTCGTAGCCACGTTTCATAGTGCTAGAGTCTGGCTCTTAGTCACTCTACTTTGTGCTAGATCTTCGCTCATAGTCACTCTACATTGGGATAGAGCCTCGCTCATAGTCACCACTATTCCGTGCTAGAGCCTGTCTCTTAGTCACGTTACTAAGTCTCTAAGCAATTTCTATGCCTAGAATCCATTCACTTTGAGTAGCCTTTAAGGCCTACTCCTAACATATCTTAGAGCTCGTACAGTTCGACCTTAAAGTATCTCTTAAGACTACTTAAGGCATCTCTATTCACAATCTCATCTCTTAGGATTAATTCCATCATTTATTCATATAAATCTTCCAACTAGTATTTCGATACTAGACAGGAAATCTTAGAACAACCAAGTTCTTAATCCATAATCAAATAATTTATTTCAATTGATTTTCCAATCCAAATATGATTTGATCTCAATATCAAAAATATCACTTTTATCCATTCATGAATTCCTTACATGAAGTAAAAGTATATTTTATCACAATATTTCATAGTTAATTCCATCATCATGCCATCATGTTCATAACACATAATCATACACAATTTCCTCTAAATTTGTATATCATGCTTCATCTACTCATAGGCAATAGTATTTTCATCTAGGCATTATTAATCATTAACAATCCCTGAAAATCACATTTAAAATACCTTAGGTAATCTTATGATATTTACTCATTAATTATAAATAATATAGTCAGTCATCCTCACCTTAGGATGTGCTACAATAGTTGCCTTTGATACACCCCTCGATCAATCCCCGTTCTAGACCGATTGAAAATGGAATTTCTGGGCAGCAGCCAAAAGTCGGGCGCCTTTTGCAAAAGGTGGGCGGCTTTCGGGCCTGCAGCTCGAAAACAGTCCCCAACAATGGCGGTTTTTCGACGGTTTCGACTCCAATCGATTCCACAACTCTTCTAAATTAAATATCACCACTTTATATCAATATTCTACACTTTTAAACGTGTAGAACTCATGGTTTAATCCACCATATGATTTCTTAAAAAATCATACACAATAAAAACTAGTTAAGGAATGTTTGTTGAGTTCTTACCTCAAACACTATCCTTTTCTCTTTGGATTTCCTCTCCTCTTGCTTCCTTCAAGCTTGAGCTTTTGAAAGGTGTTTCCTAGAGTTCCTCTTGCCCCTTGGTTGTTCGTATGGTGTGAAATGGAAGGGGAGAGGTATCTATCCTCAATCAAGACCAAAATAATGCAAAGGTATGACCAAGGAAGTGGTTGGTTGTCTAGAGCCATCCTTTCACACAAAAGTCCACCCAAGCCATCTTTATTTGTCTCCAAATCATTATTTTGAGACCTCAAGTCATGTAGGTATACGAAGTCCCTCCCAATTATTTCTACTATTTTTGGCAGGTTGGGTCAAAATAGCACTTGGGTTGTCCAAACCGTTTCCTCAACTTTAGTTGGCATTTTATTGGGCTTCTATAATTATCATGATGACCCAACTAATTATTTGGTAGCTCATTCTCAATATAATGGACCCGATAAATAATTTAATTAATCATTTATTAATTAAATATATCATTCTTTTACATGAAATCATTCACTAGAAAAATTCAAATAATTACTGTATTTTAAACTCAAGTACATACGGGTGCGGTGTCACAGGTGGTGACCTGACTTTTATTTCAGATGAACTCCACGTGACCTATTATGATTTTTTTTACTTTACATTCATTTTACATAATACTAATGTAATTCTTATTTTCTGTGGCAATCAATATTGTGTGGAGTGTTCATAGTGTTTCCCATGGCGGAGCATAGACACTGTGCTCGTCATGTTTTTGCTAATTGGCACAATACACATAAGGGGGTGAAATGAAAATGGTATTTTGGAAAGCAGTCAAGGCCTACAATGAAGCAGATTTACATGATGCACTAGATGAAATGGAAAAGGTAAGTCCAAGTGTTGTGAACTTGTGATTGATTTCAAGGCATGTAATCTCAAGGTTGTTTGTAGAGCCTATGTTAGGACAAACACTAAGTGTGATGTCATTGTGAGCAACATGGATGAAACCTTTAATGGCTACATAATCAATGCTAGAGCCAAACATATTATTTTTATGTTAGAAGATATTAGAGGTGCATTGATACAAAGAGTAGTGGTGAAAAGGAAGGCAATGGAAAAAAGTGTGGCTATGACATGTCCTAGAATTTAGTGTAGATTAGAGAAAGAAAAACATCAGGCAGCCCAATGTACACCTCTACCATCTAGTGAAGTATCCTTTCAAGTAAACCATTATTTAGATACTTTGACTGTCAACTTGGAAAGTAGGAGCTATACTTGCAGAAAGTGGGACCTTAGTGGTATTCCATGCTGCCATGTAGCGTCTTGTATGTTCTTTATAAATGCAACCCCTGATGATTATGTTCATGAGTGCCATAGCAAAGGGGTATATATGAAAATGTACTTTGGTGGCATTTCCCCTTTGACTGGAGAAAGGCACTGGCCTAAAGTGGACTTCCCTTTGGACCCACCACCCATTAAAATTGGCCCTGACAGACCACGAAAGAATAGGATTAAACCTGCTCATGAGAATCCCAAGAAACCTAGAAAATTAACTAGACACATAGTTGAGATGTCATGTAGTATTTGCAAAAGTAAGACACACAATAAGAAAAAGTATCCTGAAAAAAACAAGTCTATGGAGCCTCAACCTAAGAGGAGTAGGGGAAGACCAAGAAAGCAGGTTCAACGTGAAGCTAAATCAACAAATCATCACGAAACAACAGCACAACCATCAAGACTTGGCAGGGGAGGAAGGGTTATTCATGGCCTCCAGTAGCCTTTACGTGATTTTCTTCTTCCAGATGCGGCGTGCCTGGCTGCGCCCACGTCGTGCCTAACTTCGCTTCTGATTTTGACTATTTGACTATGCTTATTTCACCAAAGTTGTAGATAATGAAGTCTTTTATCCACCATAACTTGAAAAACAGATTTGGATAACCCAATTAAAAGATATGAATAAAATGGTGGAAGGTCGCATCCTGAAATCTCAACAGCGATTATCTGACTTCCTCATCTGTTTTCACCTTTCTCCTATCACATTATAGTCTTAATGTCTTCATATGAATTGTAGACCTTGAAGTTATCTTTCATATGAAACTTGAATCGTGTACTTTGGATGTTTCTACAAAAAGATATGCTTAAATGATTAACAGAATGTCATCATGATCACAGTTTTCAAGCTCTATTCATCTTCCTTTGATCTCGTAGCCAATACTAGAGCTCTTTTGTCTTCAAATCTTCGTCTTTAACACCTCATTGACTTCCAATGCTCCTAATAAACTCTCAAATGTGTCTCAACTGTCTCGATTACTTCTCAAACGTCGGTGTCTGGCTTAATTCCCTAATTATGACTCTAAAAATACCAAACATACACCAAAACATGGTAAATCATGACTTAAGCTAATAATGAGCCTTGTGACACATTTAAGCTAGGAAAAATGACCAAAAACCAATCTCAACACGTATCGAATGCGTGTTGAAATATGAACTTATCAACGAACTGCGAGTCTCGATGCTCAGAGCATACAAACACAAGTTTTCGTGCTACATCGTGTAATGTGCACATAGATATTTGTAAGCGTATACAAAAATAGTGTCTATGTAATTTGCTCACAAACATTTTTCATATACATCACATTACATATTTTAGAGAATATGTTTTGTGAGTGACTTGGTTTGATAGACATGAATTTGCTTTATGAGCATTGTGAAATGCATATGAAAAGAGCGTACATTTTATTGTGATGAATTTCTTTTTTGGTTTACTAGAACCCTTTTTTTTCTACCAAGATTCTCATATGTTGATATTATTGTTCCATGATGAATTATAATGCTTTAAATTTTTTAAGTGATGCATTTTTATTAATATGTAGTTCATCGAAATGTAGTTAATCAGTTATGTCAATGCTAGTTTAAATATATATATTTTTTCTAAATTTATTATTTGTGTGTTAATTAAAGATAACACAAGTACATTAGTACATTTGTCATTCATTTTAGACTATTTTAGACTATTAATTAATTAAAGAGTGTGTAGCTATCTATGTATCCATTTTTGTTTAAGAAAGATAATTTACGTGGAGACCACAGCCCCAGGCCGCCAGCACGGTGAGTGGGGTCATGACTTGCCAAAACCAGCTGGTAGTTTCAAGTTCGCTCTTTTATTACATCGTCAGCTGCTCTTTGGTAAGATCTGAGATCTCTTTCTCTCTCCCTCTCTCTATCTGACAGCGGACGGAGTAAGAACCAAGCCTCCCTTCCATTTCTCTAATCCTATTCTTTTCGTGCACTTAAAGGGAGCTAGCTCTATGGAGAAGGGTGGAAAACACAGAAATCTTTGAGATCTGGTAGCTAGCTCTCTCTCCCAGCTGCAGGTGCTCTTCCGCTGCATTTTGCTTCAAATTTTTACCCTGGTACTTTTTTTGTTTAGTAGATCATATTTTCACTTTTATGGGTATACTTGAGATTCTATTACCCCTTTCGTGCAATGCATCTCAAGAACTAAATAACTGTCGCCTGTCGGTCGTCATTGGATCTTGTAAATTGTTTCTTCTGGGCCAGCTGATTTTTTTTGTTGCTGACGAAATTATGCCATTCTGGAGATTCAAGTTCATGTTTTTTTAACTTTGGTGATTGTTTATTCCCGCTGGTGAAATGTAGCCTTATTGGTTGTTGAAAAACTTCAATCTTTTGTTTCCATACCCATTAAGCAATGACACAATCCTTTTACTTTGCAACCACAGTTAGCTCTCTAGGTGTGCTATATGTAGGTCCGTGTTTCTCCCTAGCTAGTAGCTACTCATATAATGCATTACCTTTAATTAGGATCTTTATATCTTTTCTTCTTGAGGCCTCTTAAGATTTGATGATATGGTTTATATGGTATTGGATTCAATTAAACTGAACACTCCAATAAAAGAGCACAGCCACACACATTTCGAAATTGCTTGACATGTTAAATTATTTAAGATCTGCTAAATGTAAAAATACAAACTCAGACAATATGTTCTCACTACTTATTTTATTAGAATGAACTTTGATGATGAACATAGTTTCTCTGCACAATGAGCCTATGATTGCATGAAAATCAATAGCTTTCACTACTTCTCTTATTAGATTGACCCTTTTAGGATGAACACACAGTTTCTCAGTTTCTCTGCACGATGAGCCTGTAATTGTATGAAAATTTTGTGTCCCTGTAGATTCAAAAGCGTAAAATCAATACTTTGAAATAATGGTTTGTGGTCAGGGACACAACAGGAAATTTGAGGAATTAAAGTACAAAGAAGAATGGGGAAGAAAGGGAGCTGGTTTTCTTCGGTGAAGAAGGCTTTCAGCCCTGAATCTAAGGTAAAGGAAGACTGTTTTGTAATCCATTGTAATCACAGTGTATTGTTAGTTGGGGTATTGCTGCTTCATAGGATGCTTTAACATTGTCCCCATCTTTTTGCTTTTCTTTGCCACTGATTTTTTCAGAAAGGAAGAAAAGCAAATAAAAAGCGGTTGGAGAAAGAACAAGTTCAGGTTCCAGACTCCTCAGTTTTGGAAACTCCTATTGTATCACTGCAACCACCTCCACCTCCACCACCACCACAAGAGGTGGAATTTTCTGAAGTGGAGAACGAGCAAACAAAGCACGCTCTCTCGGTTGCAGCTGCCACCGTGGCAGCTGCGGAGGCTGCTGTAGCTGCTGCTCAGGCTGCCGCAGAAGTTGTTAGGCTAAGTTCCCCAAATCAATTTGCAGGAAAGTCAAAGGATGAAACTGCTGCCATCAGAATTCAGACTGTGTTCCGAGGATATCTGGTATACATTGTTAACTGTTTATCTCAAATGCTTGCATTGTTTACCATTTGTATAAATTAGTTGCATCATTTATGTTAATGAGTTTGTCCCACATCGACTATATATAAAATAACAAATGAACAATGGAGAGCCACACAATGATTATGAATCGGGTTGATTCTAATACCATATTAAACTTTGAGTTGACCTTTGACGATGAAATGTCTAAGTGTTAATAGTTTTCTTTAAAACGTAGTTTCTTTAATTGTTGATGTGGATCCATTTTAAGCATAAAACCAGTTGTTTCTTGTTTGACTGTAACTTAGAGGTGTTTACTATTCGAGTTCTATCATATGCAGGCTAGGAGGGCATTGAAGGCCCTAAGAGGACTTGTGAGGCTGAAATCACTTGTTGATGGGCCTACTGCCAAAAGGCAAACTGCAAATGCTCTTAAATGCATGCAGAGTCTTTCACGTGTACAGTCTCAGATTCATTCCAGAAGGAATAGAATGTTGGAGGAAAATAGAGCTCTCCAAAAACAGATTATGCAGAAACACGCCAAGGAACTGGAGAACTTGAGGGTGAATATTTCTCTTCCAAATGACAACCTCCATTATGGCTTTTGAGACAATTCGAACTACCATTTTTATTATTTGTCTAGTTGATTAATATGAAAGGATTGAACATCTAAAACTTAATTAAGAACAAAACTCTTTTATGATTTAACACTATCATATATTCATATCAGCTATAAACCTCATGACAGTGATTAAGGTACTGACGATGACGATGAGGCTTACTAATGTTTTCTCTTTATATCTTTGACAGAGGGGAGAGGAGTGGGATGATAGTGTACAGTCAAAAGAGAAAGTTGAAGCGAACTTGTTGAGCAAATTTGAAGCTGCTATGAGACGAGAAAGAGCACTTGCTTATTCATATTCCCATCAGGTATTTAGCAATTCTTTCTTTGCATTTTCAAGCCATTCAAGATGGCAATGTTTAGGTGCCACTGGGTATCTAGGAGTCCTACACTCGGTTGCCACCATTAGTTTGGTAACATTATTATCTGAGTATCTGACATTGTTTTATTCCATAACAAAGTCTTAAGATCTTCATAAGAAATATTAGTTGATCATTATGAAATATATGATAGATTTAGTTTTTTTTTAAATGACAAATGTATGACTAAAATAAAAGTAGTGGACAAAAAAGCATTTTTTACTACATGGTGACTATGAGAGTACTTTCATAGTGATTGTAGTAACCATGAAATCATATTTTTATCCATAAGTTTAGTTATAGTAATTAATATAGGGAAACCCCTTTGAAAAAATGTAAGCCAAATCCTCAACTTTTAGGAATATAATGGCACCATGACAAAATAAAGCAGACTATGTTTGCTATGCCTGTCTCCTGTGAATATTGTATGGGCAGCATGACTTCTGATTAACTTGCGAATCCCTCAACTTGACAGAAAACTTGGAAGAAGTCCTCAAGGTCTGCAAATTTATTGTTTATGGACCCCACAAATCCACAGTGGGGATGGAGCTGGTTGGAACGGTGGATGGGGGCTAGACCATGGGAAACAGATGGCGTGCCAGGGAAAGAGGTTAGGAATGACCAGTTGTCAGTGAGAGGCGAAAGTAGCCTAATTGTGGGAGAGATTACCAAGTCATATGCTCGCCATCTGCTATCTACAGCCGAACAGCCTTCTTCACCGTCCCCAAGCCAAAAGCCAAGTCACTCCTCAGCTCGCCATTCCCCTGCTACTCCTCCTTCCAAACTACCGCCGGCCAGAAAACTAAAATCACCAAGCCAGAGAGCAAGTGCCATCACCGCCCAAGATGATGACACGAGAAGCGTGTTGAGTGTACAATTAGAGGGAAATGGGACGAGGCGAAGGAGGCATAGTATTGCTGGATCATCATCATCTGTTAGAGATGACGAGAGTTTGTCAAGCACCACATCTGTACCCAGCTATATGGCACCCACTCGTTCAGCAAGGGCCAAGACACGCTTACAGAGCCCTTCAGATTTGGAGGAGGAAAGTGGGCCTGCTGCTGCTGTTACCGTTAAGAAGCGCCTTTCCTACCCACTGTCTCCTGCTAGCAGGCCAAGGCGGTATTCAGGCCCCCCCAAAGCCCAAAACATCTCTATTATCTCAACCTGATTGATACCATTGCTGAGATCCATTCTTCATTTTTCTTCAATACTTGTCTTGTACCAATAAGATGTGCTGGTGCTCTTGTGTTTGTTGCCTATATATAAAGTGAGAGAGATAGTAAAAGGAGGAAATTAATGGTACGTTCCATTTATTTTCATACACCAACATCTCTATACCCAATTCTTAATTCATTATTACTGTGTCAAGCGGGGCTCCAGAGTTTCTTTGGGCTACTCTTGCTATATATGCAACTCTCTTCCACTTGTCGAAGATTGTAATACTTACATATTTTATGTAATTAAATGAATGAATAGTTCTTATCTTACTTCATGTCTGTGTGAGCGTACTTCGTGATGTACCCCAAGAAAGGAAGTTAGATGATCATTAACTTCTTCTCTTTGTACTGAAATACATACTTAGATAGCTAACAAATCATACTTTACTACATTGAACTACGTATTAATTATTATTCTTACACCGTGATGTACCCCAACTCCCAAAGGACATGTTTACTTCGTGGATTAATAAACAATGCTTATTAAACCCTGTGTTAGTAACACATTTCTTAATAAGTAGCTTAAGTATGTGTTTACTTCATAATCATTTTGGGCTTTATTAATCCAAAATTTCTTTACTTCATGGGCATAAAAGAATGGAAAGTTGTTACTTGAGAATTGAGATGGGAGTGATCTAAAAGAAAGGTTAGGTCAAGGTTGGATGCCTGCAGGGTTCCAGATTTATATGAATCTAGGAAATGAATTTGTTATTGTTTTTCACACGCGACATAAACCTATTGGGACAAACTGTATTTCTTAGGCCTATTTTCAAAAGGATTGAATGAGAAATATAAGCACATTAGGTCACAGAATGTGTCTTAATTCAATCCCTTCCATGAATTTGTCTGTTGGAAAAGTAGACAAGTACTCCGTACTTCCGTAGTTGTTAGGTATTATAGAGAAAAAATACCGGAGTCCTAAAAACACAACACTCCAGCCACAGTTGATAATTTCTAAGGTTATTTGCATCCCTCATCGTCTTTTTTTTTTTAAAGCTTAATGGCAATATTCCATAATACTACGTACAATGTAGACAAATAAATTGTGAAACATATAAGTTGGATGTTTTGAAACGGAGCTAGATAGAGCTCAAAAATTCAGTTATATGATAACATAAAACCATATTTGTTATATCAAATTTCATCGCTATGCAGCTCTGTAAAGCTTTAAAGAGATGGTGAAGATGACACCATTGTCTCATATCCAGTGCTTGTCTTTAACCTTTTAGGGTCTGATCCTTGACATGGAGTGACGTGTTGCTCACACGTCTTCCACCACTTGTTAAAGCAATCAGCCTGCTGGCTTAATGAATGGAGTGTTTCCTTCAATCCACTCCAGCTGTGTGTCTCCTGGTCTTTGTTGCTTGTGAGGGAAATAGTCCTTTCATATTGTTTCCAAAACTGCCTTCTGATAACAATCATTCTGTTGTAAGTTTCATCAACAGAAGCTTGGGATCAAGTCTTTTGCAAAACCTTTTGACATTCTCGTTCTATCTCACCAACAGGCAACTCTTCTAAACACTTAATTTGGTTGATAATGTGCATCTTGGAGATTGAAAAATCCAATGGTCTTTCTTCTTCTTCAACGTATCTCGTCTTGTTCATGCTTTTGTTCGATGGCTTCAATCTTGTTGAGAATGCTGTGCACGACATCCTTAAATTTGGTGTCTTCATAAAGATGAAAAGCATTTTTGATCTACTTTTTGAGAGAAAGAATATCGGCATAAACATCATACTTTGCACTAGCACTTCTTGCATCTTGAAATCACCTTCACTTATCAATTTATAAACCATTAGCTTTCTAGAAATTGCAAAATCTCTCTCTCATTTCATCTTCACATTGACTTCTTTTAAACTCCCATGAGCCTCATGTCTTTTTGTATAGTCTTATAAGGTGACTATTCAGAAGAACCCACAATCTTACCGTCCACTCAAAGGCACCATAGAGGTACATAATAATATCTTGATCTGAAACCACTTGGAGTAGTGGAGTACACAATCAATCATAAACTAATGCCGCTCTACACCGTAGATCTATCTCAAATTCCTTCAAAACCTCAATTTTTGCAGAACATTCGTTGCAGGAGCACGCCTTGGAAAAATCAGATTCGGGCGGAAACATTACACGAGCTGATACCTCCATTTCTACCTCCATTACTTTGAATTCCATCTTCTCCTTTACCTCTGATGCTTAAATTGATATCACAACATTCAGATTGGGGGTAAAACGACAAAAGATACACAGACAATCAATAGCCCTCGAACCAGATTTAGAGTCAATCACCTTCAAAAAGCAATATGACTCGCTGATCCTCTAATGGGAAAATGAACCAACGACGGTTAAAGCAGACCTTCCATCACCCAATCCTGCACTCCATGGCAGTGGTTCAGGAGGGGGATGATTCAGCAGTACTGTGGCTATTTCCTCGCTTTGCCTCTTGTTCATCATGTTCTCTATCAAGCCTCCTCTTTCACCACCTATGACGAATGACCATGAATCCAGATCTGTTCCAGCCTCTTGCCCCACGTTCTCTTTTACCGTCGGAGTCCAAGCACAGTCTTCCATCCCTGCACAACCTTCGCCCGTCGGAGACCAAACATCCTCTTCCCTACGCTTAATCTTGCCCTTTGTTAGTATTATACAGTTCGTGAATAATACAATAATACATACATTAGTGTACAATACGATACAATTATACTTCTTCCATCTCTTTTTAGTTGCAACAGTCAACATTTCACGTTTGCCAATGCACTACTTTGACCGTCATTATATTTAATTCTATATTAGTAAAAATAAAATAAAAATCAGATTATAAAACTTAGTAATGAGACGAATTTAACAATATTTTTCAAAAAAAATAATTCACATAGATTTATAAATAAAATGTAGTCAAAGTAAAGTACATGAATAGTGTATATATTCCAATGTTGCAATTAATGTGATACGGAGGATAGTATAAAATATGGATAAATATATGTTTCACACGTTCATGAACGGGACAAAGATACATACGTGTTTTAAACGTTTCAAAATTTAAAAATACGGCATATAATATGTGTTTTATATGTTAATTGAATGATAGAAATAAAGAGTAATTTAACATATGCATCACATTCTTCAACTGTTTAAAATGTACGTAATAATTTTTTTCAGATATATGAATTTAAATTCATAGGTACAATAAATAATAAAAATACATTGTTTATTTGAGTATAAGTGGAGAGATATTACTAGAGAATAGTTGATATTACTATGGACGTGAGTTTGGTGAGCCGCCACAATATTCATTTCTCTTTGGAGTCTTGGCTTGGGTGGAGAACAAGAGTAAAAATATTCATTTTTTCAGCTATTACACATTCGATCGTAATCCCTTGGAATAGACATAGAGTCAGCTACTTATACAAAGCAACTTGACTCGCTAGACACAAAACGAGCAAGATTAAGCCTAAAGTGATTGAAACGAATCACTGCCTATCAAAAGTTCTTTAAAAATCAAAATAGTTCAACCATATCTACTCGAATTCAAATAAAAACAAGTACTACCAAAGAAAAAATAAAAATGATACGAAAATAAAAAAATTCCACAAATTACTTCCTGCTATGGAGGCCGTTCGGAAGGAGGACGAGTGGTTGCAGTATGGGTGAAAGTTAAATCCTTCTTCCAAATTTCTTTTTCGGTGAAGAGAACACCGACCACCAGAAAATCCGCTGCACCATCGGCCGCATCTTTGAGCACTAGAATCTGCTCCATAGTGAACCTGTAGTATTGCTCCTTAGGCTTCATCATTGAAATAATCAAAGTATGTTCGCGATCTCGCTGACCTGCTTCAGCATCATCGTCTGCGAAACCAGTAGTTAGACAAAATGTCGGCCGCAGGCGTTAAATCCCACCGGAAAAATCAGACCCTAGAGAACCCCAGGAAACGATCACCCCTCTTCAAAAATCTTTCCTTAACACTTTCTCTCTCGAACTAGAAACCCTAGCTGTCATTTTATTCACTTAAATTAAATCAATGAATCTAATAAAAACTCTAAAGTTTTTTTGGGGATTAAAAAAACTTTAAACTTAATCGTCCAAATTTAACTGGTCTACCGTGTAGAAGGAAGAAGTAGTCTATCGAATCAGCGTGGGAGCAAACTGTAATTTAAAGCAAAGACATAAAACTTATACGTAGATACGAAGTATTACGTATATAAAAATGAACTTAATCGATGTGTTGTGAAAAGAAAATAGAAGACGATCAAACTTCAAAGTCGCTATTGTTACACTGATGAAAAGAAAGCTTATGTGAGACTGAGGAAAGAATCGCGATGTAGAAGGTAATGAATAAGGGAAGATACTGTGTCTAGCGGAGGAAGAAGTAAAATGCCGATATGAAATGGTCTCTTTCAGATTCCTGCAGAAGGATTATGGTTTGTGCCTACCTATTATTACTCATCAATATCCCTTGTATGATGAGATAGGAGTTCACAGTTAGTTTAGATTATTAACTCGAGGATTGTTGTTCATTCCCCTACTACTTTTCGATTAGAAGTAGTAAATAATTAATTTTACTGAAGCTGATAACATTGTTCTCGTGATTCATGGTATGGAATAAATTCTTTCATAGCATTATTGATACTACAGAAAATCAATGCATGTACATTACTTGCTAGTTGCTAGTGCACAAGCATTGAGTAAGAAATGTTCTACTTGCGATTCAGAACTATGGAGCAAAAAGATACAGTTAGGTATATTAATCTCGCTATCAGCTTTTAATCCATTTTTATAGTTATGACTACTATTACTCTACTCTCAGCAGGTAATGCTAACAAACAGCCTGTGTGTACTAATGTTACTAAGCCAGACAAAACTCTGGTCTCCAGAGATGGTATTATTGCAAAGAATAGAACTACGAAGTACAAACCTATGAAGTCATCTCCCTAAAAGTAGGGATGCTATTGTTTGATTGCCGCTTTCTTTTTTCCACGGTTTGAAGAAGGGACTTTGCGCAGCCTCGGAGCGTAGTCAAGGCGGTAACCGACTAGTGAAGCTCCAAAAAAGCTAAATGTCCCAGCACCGTTGAAAGCACTTTCAGCATCACAGCGCCTCCTGAACACAACTTTTGCACGCTTCGTCTTATTTGTGCCTTCAGTCTGAGACTCATCAATAGGCCCAAATTGACCAAGCATTTCATTCAGATCTGCTGCTGACGGAACACACTCCGGGCTTTTAAATGTGAGAATCAGTGCAGTTGGATAGTCTTCCTCAGCTTCCCCATCTGCATCTCGTTGTAGATCATCGCGACTAATCATCTCATATTGAGTTTCAGTGTCAAAGAGAACATGTTCTTCAAGGTTCAATTGTCCATCAACAAGAGTAACCGGAACATTCTTCTCATATTGTGCTGCAGGTGTACAAAATACCAGCTGTTCAGGATTTCCCTGAACAATTCTATTAGTCCAGTACGAATCTTCTACGCCATCAACAACAGATGATTCGGTTGTTCCATCATTGGATGGGGCGACTCCATGACACTCTCTTACCAAAATTCCACCATCACCTCTTAGCTCGGAGTTGTTTTCAGATGAAGTGAAATCCCTTAAGCTAGAGAAAAACTCAGTGAGTGGAGCCAAAATAGTATATCCATTAGTGGGATCTTTGGCAGCGATAGAAAGCTTCAACAAAACATTATCTAAAGTAGGGAACAATTCTTCTATTCTCTTTGGTTTCAACTCACTCAATATCAAACCTCTTTCATTGAGGTTATTATTAGTATCAGAACAAATACTGTCTATCATGTCATCAGTTTCAACCTTCACAACATCCGGTAAACTTGAAATGTTGCCATGCACCAATTCTTCTTTTCCCCTAATGCCCTTCGTATTCTTTGACAGTCGTCTACGCTTTCGAGAAGATCTATCTCCCATGGTTGGTTTCTCTTTCCCAGATGGGACACAGGAATCGCCAGTCAAAAATGGAGGAGCAGATGTTCCTTCCAGTCGTAGCGCTATATTGCTGCCAGCATCAAATCCCAACAGTCCGTGAAACTCTTTATATGTAGCTGGTGGCTCATAATTGCCTTTCCAGTGACTGAACTCTAGCAGCTGATATCTTGCTGCTAGAAATCCCAGTCTATCAGTCACACCCCGCGGGGAAAGAGCTAATGACTTCAAATATTGAAGAAGCACTAGAGGCCTAAAAGAAGCCATGGCTGACAGTTGCTCACTGTCATCTCTTTGACTAGATTCTGCCTTGAAACCCGAACAGACCGCAATCTGGGATTCAGATTTGTACTGCACTTCCGTTGACACACATGTAAAGGATGGCCTCAACTCACTCAGGCCACTTTCTTTGGAATTATTATCAGAACAAAGAAAGTTCACCCACCTATCAGTTTCACCCTCACGGTCATTCCCTTTTAGGAATGAAGTATCTCTGATGCTTGACTTCTCTTCCCCAGGAGAAAACCCCGACTCACCTCTCAAAAACTGACCTGCCCTTTCCAGGCTCGGCATTAAACTGGTTCCAGCATCAGATTCCATCAACCCATGAAACTCCACAAATGTAGTTAGCTCATAATAACCCTTCCAACGGCTAAATGCCAGCAGCTGAGATCTTGCAACAACATACCCCAGCCTATCAGCCACACAGCATGGAGAACTTGCTATTGACTTCAGATGTTGAAGAAACACTCCAGGCCTAAAAGAAGCCACGGTTGACAGTTGGTCACCACCATCCCTGTGACTTGATCCCAATCGAATGCCTGCATTGACCACAATCTGTGATTTAAACTTGTATTTCACTTCCTCTGGCACACATGGGCAGCACAGGCCAAGCTCAATTCTTCTTGAGACCTCATCCAGTGAGCAATCCACGGCGTGACAGAAAGCTTCTCTACATGATTGTTTCTCCATTTGATTGAAGTACATCCGAAAGGGTTTTATCCGTGACACTTCATTCCATGCAAATGTTTGGTCCCCGAAGAAGGCTATTAGGTAGCTGTCACTCTTAAAATACTCAGTTGCTTCCTGTGATGCAGCAGAAGGTTCAAATATTTGCCCTGGCCACCAAGGATGGTTCCTCACCTTACCCCATACTAGATCAGACACATAAAACTCCCCCTCTTCCTCTGTTTTTGATTCCTCTTGACGACTTCTTGGAGCCAGAGCGAAGTGTTTAACATCTTTCTCTTTTATATATGCTGGCTGTGCAGCTGTGAACTGTCCTGTATTTCCAATCCCATGCACAGAAATCATTTCGTCACCCAAAAACTGGTCTGCATTCGAATTTATAGTCCTAACCACGGTAGGATCGAGAAATTCCTCTTCAGCACCCACACCTCGATATACATCACCATACATCAATGAATCAATCTCATTATTTCTCCCGACGTAGCTACCCTGCAATAACCCCCCTACAATCGATGAAGGCATTACTGTTTCTCTAGGTAGAATAATAGTCACATGAACATTTTGATTAACAGTGCCAATGTGCCATCTCTCATATAAACACTCCTGCTCAAGTTCCAATTTTTATCGTTTTGCCCACCACCTTCTGAATCAATTTCGCACTTAAATTTTTCTTTGGCTCATGGATATACAATAATCACACTGTGTCCTTCAACGGGAACGGATGTCAAATCATCAACCTACAATTTTTGCAGACCTATAGAACCCAAAACATATCAAATCACATCGATACAGTCTCAAATTAATCAAATTATGCACAAGAAAATAGATCGGAACGATAAAGAACGACGGCTGTATGCCATATGCTTAAACACACAAAAACGGGATCACTATATATTACTCCGTAATTTATTGAGCAAGAGGGAGTGGGGTTTTACCTGGCTATATCAGTTCGCCTTGATTTCTATAAAAACAAATAAGTTTCCACTATCAGCGGACCAGAAATGGTTCAGAAGGGTGGGCATGGAACTCAAAGAGCGAAGGCTTTGCACGTCGCAGTGGTTTATGTTTTTTTTTTTTTTGAAGGACGCAGGTTTATGTTGGCAGAACCTAAGTTGCGTGACTTGGGGGGTTTGAGGAGCAAGATTGATTGCCGTTTACTGTGAAAGGTAAAAGATTGACTGATTAACGGCACTTGTTGGAGGCACGGGTCCCAACTTTACAAGTACCTACCTTTAACTACTTACCTTCTAACTTTTCTACTATTTTACTTATTTATTTATCACAACCATTTAAATTCTTCTTTAAGCTCACTTCTCTCGCAAATTATACTGTGCAACCGGCATACCATGCGCATGATATGTCGGGTTTGATACGGCACCGTTTACATAAATAAAAATAAGTAGCGCGGTGCTCTCTATTCTTCTCCACAAGTCTGCAATTCTTTTTTTCTTCTCCGCCAAGCTATCCTCCTGGGATCGTCGGACCTTCTCCTTTATCCCCTCCCCTTCTGTCGTGGAGATTTAAACTACGAAACTTCATGCGGTTCCAACTTTCGAAGATGGGAATGAATATTTCTAGTGAATTGAAATATATGTCGGTTAACTAACTTTGCTTCCACCGAGTCACCGACTGAGAAAAGTTATATGCTTTGTTTTTAATTTCTAGAAAGGTCATGCTTTTCAATTTCTTTAAGCACCATTGAAATCCAGGATGTTCACAGCCAAGCTGCACATTAAAATGATCATTCCTCCATAAGTTACATCTAGAGCAATTGCTTTGTTGATATGATAGAGTTACATTTCATATACACTGGAGTTACATTTTATATTTGCTAAAGTTACATTTTGTAACATGTGATTTACATTTCAATTTTTCTTAACAAGTTTCATCTTAATTACACTTGATTTACATTTGACATTATGCGAGTTACACAATAAAACAATGCGAGTTACACAACAAAATAAACCTATGTTATTCAATCAAAAATGATTTTCTTGTTAAAAAACATTTTTAATGCACCTAATATTAAAAACAAAACATATGCACTATTTTTAATGCATCTAATATTAAAAACAAAACATATGCACTATTTATGTAAAATAATTGGACAATTAGACTTCTTCTTTTCATTAAACATGAGTATATTTCTGGGCACAAGTTACATTAGTTGTTAATTGAAGTTAAATTTGTAACAACACGAGTTACATCTAATTATGCACAAGTTACATCATTCATGCTACTGGGATGAAAATAAAAAAAAAATATTGTACACGCATGTACTGTTCATGTGTTTTTTTATAATTGTGCGAAACTACGCCGTTTTGAGTGTGGGAGCACGGTGCTCACCGTGGGGTGATACCACGGTATACGAAGTCCCTCTCTCCCATAATGATTATTTTATTTTAATTTGATAAAATTATTAATAAAATAGTTATTATTAAGATTTGCGTAGAATGAAATGAAATAATAGGTGACTACATATTTTTCTTACCCAAATTAAAGAAGAAACAATACATTCATTTTGGAATAATCCAAAAGAAAAGTGAAAGAAACAAAATGTGTGGAGGGAGTATGTTTTTTCAGAAGATACATTGAATAGCTTTTCAGAAAAAGTTTATAACTTTTATCATTAATTAGTCGTAAGAAGTGATGACGGTTAAATAAAATGAAATTAAGTCAAACAATGAGGTTTTATCAAACATGTACAATTATTATTTTTAAGATCTTTTCTAAAAATTAATAATTACATAGTTCTCGCAAATATTTTTTTAAAAATAGTTGTTTCAAATACACCCCAAGTTAAGCTCAAACGATATTAAAATAAAAATAAATTGTGATTATCAATCCGAATACATGGATAGATCGATTGAAATCAAGGCGAACTGATATAGCATATGACATTTAATAAAATTTTATATAGCATTTAATAACAAAAACGAATCCTATTACATAAATGCATTTGATTCATTCCGATTACATTATTTTATCATCTCCGGATTTTATTTAATACTCCCTCCGTCCTAAATTGTTTTGCAAAATCAATATTTTTTGGTCAACCAGTAATAAAAGTCAATCCTCTCTATCGATAATTAACTCAATTTTTAATAATTAAAATTTACATATTTGAAAACTACATTAAAATCTCTTCAAAGTTGCAAACTCAAAATTAGAAAATAATTCAAAAACGACATTCTAATTAAGCAAATAAAATGAAACTGTGTAACCAAGAAAAGTCAAATTTGCAAATTAATTTGGGAAGGAGGTAGTATTCATTATATACTTCAAAAATAGATAGTATGTTACGTTTACGTATAAATGAATGGTTTGCATTTCTTCAATGAGAAAATTAAACAGGGAATTGAATATAAAATTATTCGAGGAGTAATATTTCAGATACGTTACTAAAAACATTTAAAACCACAACAATCAAATTTGGAGTTCGCAAGACTGTTTTTCTGACTTATCGAGTTGACCAGTCATTTTTTATCAAACACGTAACTTCATTTCGCGCGTTGAATTGTGTAATACGGAGTAAAACAACTATAAAATTTGTATATCAAACACGTAAACTTCTGAAAAAATTATATTTAAAATATATTTTAATAATAAAATAAAGAAAAAATTATATGAAAAACAACTAAAATGATTTTCTACAGTAAGTCAACTAATACAGTCAGAAAAAAAAATTCAACCTTACTTTTTTCTTATAATTTTAGATAGGAGGGAAAACAAACCAAAAGTGTACTTTAAATTATTGAATACAACGGAGAGTTTCAATTCACTTTTTCAATGATATTGGACTTTTCACCCTACTTGAAAAAAAAACTTTAATTTTGCACCATATCGTATATCATTTTGTGAAGAACAATTCCTGAATGGCTTGCAAACTCAAAGGATTTTTAAGGTAAATGAGATGCAAAGTCAATGTTTTTTTTTTTGAAATAGACCATAAAGTCCAATATCACCCAAAAGTGGGTGCAAAGTCAAATTCCTCAATAAAAGTCAAGCTCATGATGGTCTGAAAATGTAATTAAATTGCAAATGATAACAATCTTATAAACATAATGGGAGAACCCTCTCTCAATAATGTTTTCCTCACATTTTTGAACTAAATGCATTTATAAGTTATAAAATCATTTTCTCTCTCATTTTCTTAAGTACCAAGCTTGGCCACATCAAAGTCAAATTGGAAAGTAGTAGAAGCTCAAAAAATGTCATGATGAGATTCCACCATATAACATAAAAAATTACTCAAAAACACAGAAAATTCTAACATACTCTATCAATTTTTGGCATATAAAAAACAAACCGTAAACAACGTAAGTGCAACGGTCAACTTTGTAACTTTGTAAATTTTCCTTTTTTGGTTGTCCCAAAAACTGTCACTTTCCCTTTTAATCAATCAATTTGTGGTTCCTGTTATTTCTCTCTCCTCTGCAAAAATATCTGCCACACATTTTTTACTTTATTATTCTGCGTGCCGGTCAAACTTGGCAAACCTTTAAGGGACGGAGGGAGTATAATTCTCTATAAGTAAAAAAGTTAAAAAATCATATTTTGAAATTTTCAATGAGACAAACTTAAGTAAGTGCAACGGTCAACTTTTCACATGTGCTGAGACACAACTTTGATCATTAATGTATATAATTCTCTATAAGTAAAAAAGTTAAAAAAAATCATATTTTGAAATTTTCAATGAGACAAACTTAATAATATTTTTTCAAAAAAAATTATTAATACATTAATAAATAAAGTGTAGTCAAAGTAGAACATGTGAATAGTGTAAAGTTCAACATGTTGCACTTATTTAAGAAGGGAGGTACTAGTTTAATGACATTATTATGAACTACTCACTATTATTACAGTTCAAGTATGTTGACAATTAAGACTGAAGTGACAGTACTTACACACAAAAAAACATTTACAAATAATCATTCTTTTGTAAAGTTTTAAAAGTTTTACAAAAAAAAAATTAACAAATAAACTTCTGAAAAGTAATTGAAATTTATCATTCTATTTCTATTGATATAATTGGATACGCATGGATACCTCGTTTTCAGGATAAGGCCATCTCCGATCGTTTACACCATTTTTTGCACTAAAATGGTGTAAACATCACATCATACAGTATTTTATTTTCAACAATTTATACCATTTTCACCACCAAAAAGGAATATTCTTTTTTTATTCTTTTTACTTACTTTTTACCTTTATTATATTTAATTATGTAATTACCATATATTTATACATTAGCCGAGTGGCGGATCTTGTACATAAATTTTGAAGTTTCAAATTTATTTTATAAGTTTTGGATGTTCAAATACATATATAAACTTTTACACTAGCACCCATATATATGTATTTTTACACTACTTGTTAAAATTTTTGAGTGTTCACGTGAACACTTTTGAACATAGGGAGGTCCGCCCTTGCATTAGCCCCTCATTTAATACTACGTATGTATTTTGACATTTCACACATTATTTCACAAATACAAACTAAAATACATTTCACACCGTATTTTGGCATTTACTAAAATACAAGTAAAAATTAAACCGCGAAGATGGTCAAATGATTTTCGGAAATGTACCGTGTTGTTTAACTGCACGGTTATCTTCAAAAATTCATTTGACTGTCTTCCCGGTTGAATTATTAGCTGAAATTTGGTATACTTAAAATATACTTAATGAAGAAGGTGCTCAAAAAATTTCATATAAAAAATCCACCGCGAACTGCCCCAGGGTGAGCAGCAGGTTGTTGCTGAGAAGCAGGCTGAGCAGCTGTTGAGCCTGCTGCTCACCCTGGGGCTGTTCCCGATGGACTTCTTTATGAATTTTTTTTAGCATCTTCTTCATTAAGTCTAGTTTACTCATACCAAATTTCAGCTAATAATTCAACCGGGAAGACAGTCAAATGAATTTTTGAAGATAACCGTGCAGTTAAACAACGCGGTACATTTCTGAAAATCATTTGACCATCTTATCGATTGAAGTTTATTTGAAATTTGGTATGGGTAAACTAGAGTTGATGAAGAAGATGGTAAAAAAATCATCAAAAAATTCCATCAAAAAAAGATGGGTGAAGATAACCGTCAAAAAGAAGATGGTAAACTAGTATGCTCATCTCAAATGATAAGAATCAAATGCTTGTGAAGATAAGGAAATTCATCCTTATAATTTAAATTTATCAATTAAATTTATCAAAATTTATAATTTATATTTTATTATATTGCATCAAGTTTATAATATTGTGTGATTTAAACTTTATTATATCAAATTTATAATTTAAATTTGATGTTTTAAAAATGGGTCAAAATTATAATAATCAAAACTTGGAGTGACTTTTGAAATAAGAAAGAAAGAAAGAAAAGAAGATGGCGCAAGGATGGTGATGCACCATATATAGCGTAAAGCAAAAGCTCTTCCCTCATTTTGGTGAAATGGTGAAAGATTTGGTGTAGCTATTGGAGCAAAAAAATGGCAAATCCCCCATTTTGATGAAGGAATTGGTGATTATTGAAGATGGTCTAAGGATGGAATTATTTATTTATTTCCATGGAATCCAACGAGTTGGTTACCTTGATGAGCGTATATATGCAACAGTATCTGTGTGAACATGGCATATCATTCATACGCAGTATTTTTCTTGAATAAGAGTTCATTCCTCGCGCGTGTCACAATCTGTATGAAGTCAGACCATCTAGTATCGAGGAGAGGGTCAATTGAGTACACCAACTTGTACGAGGTGAAGTAAAGAGTACATTATATTGCATTTGATCTTTTTAAGTATACAAATCGGGATTTTAGTGTTAATTGAGTACATGCATTTGTTAGATTAACACGTTAATACAGTTGAGTTGGCTAACGGAATGTCGAGTAAGAAGGGGTAATGGACCCAGGTTGTGGTGCCGACCTTCCCGAAGTCGACAAAAAAGGAAAATTGACCTTCGGAGGTCGACCTGCAGGGGGCGTCGGCCAGCATGGGTGCATCAAACAAAAAGAAGTTGACTTGCGGGGGACTGACTTTGACCAAGGGGAAGTCGTCGATCAAGTGATTGGGGGCTGGCGTCGACCTTAAAAAAGTTGACTTATTAGCATTCTATTAGCCAACTCAGTCATATTAACGTATTAATCTAACGGTTGTACTCAATTAACACTAAAAATTCTAAGTTATGTACTTAAAAAGATCAAATGCAATATAGTATACTCTTTACTCTACTTCATACAAATTGATGTACTCATTTGACCCTTACCTCATCGAAAAATGCTAGAAGTACAAACACACTTACAAAAAAACTTACAAACAAGTGATGTGGCTATTCTAACTACCATTGATGTAAAAGTATTGTAAATGTGATGTGATGTGTTAAATAATGTGATGATACCACATACCCTTTTTGTAAGACTTTTTGTAAAAGTTTTTGTACCTCTAGCATAACTCTACCTAATCTAGTATTCTAGTATTTGTGTAATTGTGTCATCTAGGGATGGACTCGGTTCGGGTCGGGCCTCGGTTCAATTCAGACCGAGCTTTTTTTTTTGGAAAAGTTAGGCCCGGAAACCGGCCCGGGTTGCTCAGGGCCCGGGTCGAGCCAGTTCACCCAGTTGTTCACGGGCCGGAACGGGCCGGTTCACCCTTTTTTTTATTTTCTAATTACTTCCTACCCCCACCCCTCCCCCACACCCCAAACCCCTCCAAAACACCCAGCCCAGCTAGGGATGGACCCGGCCCGGGCTCGGGCGGGCTTTTTTCTTAGAAACTTGGGCCCGGAACCGGCCCGGGGTGATACCAGGTCCGGTCCGGGTCGGGCCTACACGGACGGGTAGTGGGCCGGTTCGGGCCGGGCGCCGGTTTGGACATAAAAAAGTTAAAATATATTTATTTGAAATATGTAGTACAATTGAAAATTGAGCAAAAATTAAAACATGAAATACAGTTTTTAATAAATATGAATCAATCGGAATTTCTGGCATCTTCGGTTGTTTCTTCCATAAAGTGACGGGTGGGTTCAATGCTAATTTCTTGAGTTCTACGTTTGGCCTTCAACCAATCATGGAAGCAAACAAGCGTCTCAAGAGAGATTGCGCTCAATCTCGTTCTATAATCCGTTAGTACGTTGTCGGCCGCACTAAACTCTTATTCCACAGCAACTGTTGATACCGACATTGCTAGCACTTGCTTAGCCATCTTTGATAAGATCGGGAATGTTCTCTCTTTTTCCTTCCACCACTGAAGAACGTCAAAGTCATCCCCTTCTTCATACTCAACAGGAAATGTTAGATACAAAGAAAGCTCGTTGATCGAGCTTTGTTCATTAACCGGAGTTGATTTACTTTTTTTCATAAGATTGCCAAATGCAGATTTCAAAATGTATTTTCCTTTAGATCAAGAAGATGTTCGTGGTGGGGAGGAGGTGTGTTACCATATTGTGCATGAAACTCATTAAATAATTGATATAATAAATTACTATCCTCTTGAAATTGTTGTTTAGGGTCTATGACCAAAAAAAGAAGCATAAAAGTAATCTAAACATTGCTCCAAAGAAGCAAGTCTAAAACGAGGATCAAGACTAAATGCAATACTATATATATGCGGAATATAGGAATAATATTTTAAAAACTTTTGTTTCATGAATTCACAAAAATAACTAACGTAAGCGGCATCAGCAAATTCACAAAAAGCGCCGGCGAAATTAACAGATTCAACAAAAAATTGGTTTGCGGTAGATTTATAAACATGACTAAAAGTTTGAGTTGCATTATTAAAATACACCAAAACATTCACAATTTTTTCACAAGTGTCGATGTCAGCCGGGTTTATAATATAGTTAGCATATTCTTTTAAAAAAGCAGGAAAATGGTTTTTAAATCTAATAAGCACCTTAATTAAGTTATAAGTACCATATCCTCCGGAAATTCCCAAGTTATACTTTTTGTTGCAATGCTTGCAAGTGACGTACCATATCTCGGTTTCGAGATCTTTAACTTTTGTAAAATTGGCCTTAAAGACAGATTCAGATTTCTCACCGCCTTGGAAAGAAATAGCCACTTCCGCTTGCTCTTCCTCATCGTCCGGTGTGCCATGAACCTCATCCTCGACCGTTTGCGGGTTGTCTTGTTGATGGAAAAAGCGCCCTTGATTTTGTTGCAATAGTTGTTCTAGTTGCTCATCGGACATCGCATCCCCGTATCTTTGGTTGTAATCCGCATCAAAATCATCTCAGGTTTGAGATGAAGACTCGACCCCTCCCTTACCTTTGCGTGACCTTGGATGATTCCTCCCAATCTCCTTTGTTCGATTGCGGCGGAGGTTACTCATATCTACGGAAGCTCTAGCACGTTCCATACTTCCATCTTAAAAATATAACAAATATTAAATTTGAAGTACAATTAAACTAGTGAATTTGAAATACAAATCTCACAATTCGAAATACAATTAAATTCGAACTATGCAACTACAATGTAATAACTTAACTACAATTAAATAATAATGCAATGTAAAAATTCGAACTATTTGTTTTAAAATGTAACAACTTTATTTAACAAGTTTAACAATTAACTAGTTTTATAGGAGAATAATAAATGTGACGATTAACTAGTTTTATAGGAGAATAAGAAATGTAACAATTAACTAGTTTTATAGGAGAATAATTAATAAATGTAACAATTAACTAGTATTATATAAGAATAAAAAATGTAACAATTAACTAGTATTATAGGAGAATAATAAATGTAACAATTAACTAGTTTTATAGGAGAATAAGAAATGTAACAATTAACTAGTTTTATAGGAGAATAATAAATGTAACAATTAACTAGTATTATAGGAGATTAAGAAATGTAACAATTAACTAGTTTAACATTTAAACAATTAATTTCGAATTATTGTCTAACAATTTTTAATGCAACTATTTCCAATAAACTAACAACTAACAATTAACTACTTTTATAGCAATGAACTAATACTAAAATGATAAGTGAAACAATTAACTAGTTTTATATTAATAAAGAATGTATGAGTGTGTAAACTAAATTAATGAGTGTGAAAGTGTATAAGCAATTGAATAAGTACATTATAAGTGTATAAGTAGATATACTTAATATATATTTATAAGTAGATAATAAGTAGATTAACTAGTAATATATAATATTATGTTTATAGTATATATAATATAAGTATATTACTATAAGATGAGTAATAAACTTATATATAATACTTTAATATATAAGTATATATTAACTATTAAGTATATGTAATATGTAAATATAAGTAAATAACAATAATATAATAATTAGATATTAGTATAAGTAGATAATAAGTAGATAATAAATTTTATAAATATAATATACGTAGTTATACATTTGAGAAGATGAAGATGGAGAAGATTAGTAGAGAATAAATATTAGAGAGTAAGAATATTTGGAGAAAATGTGTAATAAATCATATAGCAAAAAATGGAATATTTATAGATTTTTTGTACTCCACCCCACCCCAACCCACACGAGGACCCCTGGCAGCCTCCCAAGTCCCAACAGCTATAGAGCCGTTTGGGTTTGAATACAACGCCTCTAAAGCCTTATTTGGCTGGAAAAGAATTTTTTTTAAAAAAAAATGAGCCGTTAGGCCCAAGCCGGCTGGTTCGCTTTTTTCCTGACCCCAAACCACACTACCCGATCAGGCCAGTTCAAAGCCCGAACCGCCCAACACATACCCGGGTCAGGCCGGGCCCGCACAATAGCAAGCCAGGCCAGTTGGGTCCATCCCATCCCATTTCCCTTTAAAAAATATGAATAACAAAAAAAAAGGCCCGAAGGGGGCCAAAAGTCCAAAACCTGCCAGACAGTTCATAAAAATCAAGGCCCAGGAAACAGCCTTCTACAGTGCCTGGCCAATTGGCCTGAACCACTCAACCAACCGTGGACCAGGCTGGTTCCGGGCGAAAACAGTACCAGTTCAGGCCAATTCTGATACAGTTCACCCGGCCCAAGTCCATCCCTAGTGTCATCTAGTATTTGTAGTTGGTACAATACTTTTGACACTAGGAACGTGGGTTAAAATCCCGCGACGATTGAGATCCAATCACAGGATTTAGTGCAGTAATATAAAGATCAACACAAATCTAAGTGATGAAACGGATTGTTTGATACAATAATGCATTAGCAGGAGTTTAAAGGCACTTTTCAAGACAATTTTTTGAGTGTATGACATCGTAGAAAGCAATCAGCCACAAAAATTCATACTTTTATTATTCAATATATTGTAGATATATAGAGCAAAGTAGATGGAGACTAGTCAGACTACAGCTAGGCAACCAAGAATTGAAAATGTGATGTGAGCTCAAGCAGTCTTAACGCCCTAGCTTTCGTTGAATAAACTTTAACATTCGGCAAACCTGCAGTTTAATATAGAAATCAAAGTCATCTAAAAGCTGTAGTCAAAAAACATAGGGGGGAGGGTATACAAAGCATAGCACATACGAATCATACGAATCATATCAATCCATAACTCTTCAGGGGGGAGGGTATACAAAGCACCAAATCAATAAAGCAAGCACTTTACCCAAGCTCGGAGAGTTTCAAATGGGCTTCTGCGTAGTCAGCAAAGAAAGCATCCTCATCCTACAATAAGCCAAAGTCAATTCCACATCATGCCAACACAATGTCAAAGGATCGATTCACAATCACAAATTCAAACTACGATGCGCGAAAAAATAGATATATACCGCAGCATATTTTTCAACAAGTGGTCGAAAGACTGGGTCTTCCAGGAGTGTCTTATCAGTAGGAAGCTGGAGGAGATCTTCCTTCTCCCCAGAAAGAAGCTCCCTATCATTTAAAAATTTTAAATTGGAATTTAAAACCTAATCCAAAATAGTACAAAAGCAAAGAGTAGAATCAAAAGACTTCATAACATACTTGAAGTAAGAATTATCAAATATGAGAGGGTTGGAAGTCCATGCCCCCTCAAATCCAGAACGTTCCTTGTGGCACTTGCCCTATACAAAGAAAGGCTTTCGTCATTCTCCATTATTAAATAACCCAACAGCAGTTGTGGTCAACTACACATATATATATCTTTTCCTATGTATACCAGGGTGTGACCACCAGATAGAGCAACAATGTCTTTATCACTCAGCCCCATTTGCTCTCCAAAAACAGTCCTCAAATGATCAGAGCCTGTAATATAGCAGCAGTCTTAATCAGACCACACTATAAAAGCCTAAACTGCAACAAAGATAAACAAATAAATACAAACCCTTTGTAGCATCAGGCAAGCGACCTTCAGGAGGAGGGGTCAGCTTATCCTGGCAAATATAAGAGCGCAATATTATCAAGGAACAAAGACTTGATCAACTTATATGACCATATAACATAAGAGCATAAGAATTGAGAAACAGATATATTCCAAAGAGAAATCATCACACATACCTCCCTCCCAGGATGAAAAGGGACTTCAGGGCCGCCAGTAATCTCCACAGCCACAACTCCAGCTAGCTTCAAGTGTATAAAAATGTATACCAATGTCAGACAAAGATTAGATGGGGGAAAAGGGAAAACCAACAAACAGAGTCAAGCTTTCGACAAAGATGTTTCAATGGATCACCTGATAGAAATCAGCATATGTGAGGATGGGAAACTGCTCCTTGATTGGCTCCAAGAGTCTAACAGCAATGTCAAGGCCATTGTTTGCTCCATGTTTGAGTTCCTCAGGGTGCTTCATGGTACCAAAGGGACCTCCTGTTTTACTCTTCACGTCAAAAGTACCTGCTGAATGCCATCTGATATAAACCGTAGGAGCACTCAGAACTTTTTATTTCAATAAATGGAATCACAGTAATTTCAAAAAATGCATAGTTTAAAGGCAAAAGCAATGAAAAATTGTAAGCAACAAGCCAACAAAAACCAAGCCTTAGTTTCAAAAGAGTTTGGGGTCAGCTAACATAAAAAAATGTTTAGCACAAAAATGGTGCTAAATAACAAATACATCGAAGTTATTCAACTCAAGCAAACATCTAGGTGATAGGCAACTAATATGCAGTCACATTAAATTGGTAGACACCATATAAAGTCAGAACAGCAACTTTAAAGACATCACAGAGACAGCACTTTGGTACAAAACCAGTGGAGACTGTTAGTAATAGAAAGCACTTCCTGCCCTTACTGTTATTTCAAATCTAATACGTAGTATTCTTTAACCAAATGGTACAATAAAAAACTCATCAAACAAATATTTACAATCTACAGAGGCATAAAACATAAATACAAATCGACTTGTTTTTCTTCCTTCCATTTCATGGGTATGAATTATTTCCGAAAGTAAGAACACATTTGCTTTCACAGAGCCAAACAAAGTCAACGATAACATAGAATGATACAACGATAGCAAATAGATGACAAATTAAATACCTATAATACTGATAAACGAGTAATACACCTCAACCAGATCACCAACAAAGCTATAAAGAACAAGCAAAGCGTCTAAACATATACTCCGTATAAGTCAAAGGTATAAAGACCTTAGATCTATTCATATGTACAAACACATACGGAGAATTTATCAACATACATATAAGCAAGCATTTCTATCGCTGTGTGTGATACGAGGATGAAAGAGAGAGAGAGATAGTTTACGCTATGCGAAGCATGAGTGGAGCACATCCCTTCTCAGCAATGAGTCCTCTAAGCTTCCTCTTGCATTTCTCTACAGCTCTCTGGTACTCCTCACTCACAGTTGGATAAGACTTCCCCATGGCAGATAAGCTCAGCTACAGAATCCGATATACAAACTGAAAATCGTAGATTTTCATTATTACAGAAGAAACAAATCAAACAAGTCTGGAAAGAAGTAAAAGCATAAAGAGTAACGAATGGAAACTAAATCGGCTACAATCGACCAAAACGACTCCTCACCTCCGACGAGACAGGGTTCAGTGCAAGAGCAATCTAGTAACGGAAGAGAAAATATATAAGAGCTTAAGGTCAGAAGGTTCTAGGCTTCTCGCATTTACATTTTGTTGATAAAATGAACGGCTTAGATCTAATCTCCGATGGCTGCCGGTATGGAGTTGGTGGGCCGGTAATGGGTATGGTCAGTCATTTGCCTGTTGGAAATGAAAAGTCGTCCATAGAATCAGTAACCAATTAAACTTCCCCACGTGTAGGAAGGTCATTGGGTATATCGTAGTTGCATACTCGCGGCATGAGTCAAACCACGGTAGCACCATTAGCAAAGTAACACAAAAATTACAAAAAGGTGACAACTCCGATATCCATTTAAAAAAGGTAGATTCTATGGTACCCACAGGGTATCATACATTTGTCCACATGGACAAATGAGAATGTAGCAATTGAATTATTTAAATCTAAATTAAAAATGATAAAGTGGTGTGGTTGAATCAAATGAATGGTAGATACGATACCCCATTTTTTAGAAAGGTACCGGAGTTGTCACCTTTAAAAAATGGGGGTACCATATCTCTCACTCACTTAATTAGTTCAAATCATTACATCGTTTTTAATTTAGATTTAAATAATGGTAGATTCTACGGTACCCATAAGGTACCGTACCTTTGTTCACGTAGACCAATGAGAATGTAGCAGTTGAATTATTTAAATCTAAATTAAAAATGATAAAGTGGTGTGGTCCAATCAAATGAATGGTAGGTACGATACCCCATTTTTCAGAAAGGTACCGGAGTTGTCACCTTAAATAATTCAACCACATCATTCTGATTGGTCCATGTGGACAAAGGTACGGTACCATAAAATCTACCTTATAAAAATGACATATGTAGTACTAAAGATGTTTTTAATCCAAGTAAAAACATCCTAAATTCTAAACGACTTTTACGTTTTTCAAGGCATTTTACATCGGTGAAAATAACATTGGAAACTCATTTTCCATAAATCCGAAATTTTAATTTTCTTTTTTAACGTAAGTTGATAAAAAATGTATTTTCATATCAAATTAAAAGTGTAATCAAATCTAGTAGATACAAATTACTATCAGTTAACATCAAATACATTCGACATCAGACAACTTCTACACGATCTTAAAGCATCTCCAATAAAGATGTGAATTGGACCCCATAAAAAATGGACACCTCGTCCGTTAAACATAATGTGAAGCTAACGTGGAGGCACAGGCATTTAATACTCTCTCCGTTCCCAAAAATACTTCTCACCTTCTTTTTTGTGTTGTTCCCAAAAATACTTCCCACTTTCCCATTTTGGACAATTTGTGTGGCTCACATTCATTTTACCTTTTTCTTACACAACCACAACCATACATTTCCACTTTATTACACTTTCTTAATAAGCGTGCCAAGTCAAACCGGAAAGAATTTTTAGGAACGGAGGGAGTAACATACTTTATCTCCAACGGAGTCCTATGCGAGTCTAATTAAAGAACCATCGGCTAACGAAGCCAGCACACAGCAACCATTCTTGGTCAGATGGAGAAGATGTACAGACCCAAAACCACCGTCATCGTCATCGTCATCATTGGAGCTTCTCAGTTTTCCCGCACCAAGATAATTTTCAACAAGACAACAACACCCAGCAAAATTTCAAACTCACACACACACACAGTGACACACACATGTATAAATAAATATGTATATATATATATATACATACACGTACTTATTTTGAAATTTTCTCCGGTTGTCGTAAAGGTTATTGAATTGGTGCAACCTGAGAATTTGTTATTCTGAGAGGTGTTCAATTGCTTTAGCAAATTATAGAGTTACGTGTTTTATTTTACGTGCATCATTAGTGTGCTTTGCATGTGTGTCGTAGAGCCTTGCTGAGAAATGAAGTTGTTAAAGTATTATTCTCACACTCGAAAGCTATAAAAAATTTAAACCACTATATAAGGCTTTGGGTTACTTCTTCTATCAGGTTGACCTTTTAGGATGAAACTTCGGGTCTTAGTTCGGAGAAGAAGATCGTCGAAGAAAAAATGGGTTGCTCGTCGGCCACCGCTTCCACCTAGAGGAGGGGTGCCACCGCATCGCAAGGGTTGCTAGACGGTGGGAGAGGTGATTGTGGTGTTTGATACGACTGTACTAATGCGGTTGGGTGGTGCTTGATGGAAGGAACGAGAGCTTTTGTTCATGAGCATTAAGGAGTATGATGACTTGCGGCAATTATATTCCTGAAATAAAGTTTGCTGAGTGAGCATGTCAACTAGACTTGCTGAAACCTCACAGCGAGATAGACACCGTCCCCTTTTTCATTCCAGCTCAACATGACAGGCAGCACGCATATTTCTATTGGAGTGGTTATTTTTATTTGATTGTGAGGTGGCAGCGCATTTCTAAGCAATCCATGTTCCCATTAAAGATAATTTTAACACTTACATTTTTGCCTTTTGTGAAAGAAATTGCCCTAAAAGGGCGGAAAGCTGATTGTAAATTTCAAACCTACTAAGTAATGGTAAAAAATCTCTTACTTGCAATTTTGAAAACGACACAACATTTTTTATGTTCAATGTCAAGGATTTACGAGAGTACTTGCAACATTTAGTTACTCTATTAAGGAAAGAAGATGTTGAACTTAGCTTTGTGTAACTGTGTGACTCAAATGTTTCTCTAGCTATCGATCAATAATATTTGCCAATAGAAATTGAATTATACCTATATTGATTCCAAGGAGTTTTAACCAAATGCCTTTAATATTATTATTTCAAATGTTTAAACAATATAGAATTTATATATTAAAAAACCATACTAGTCCAGTAGTCCATATCTTGCACCACAATTACCATTCATAGTTTATCTTCTTAGTCATAAATTAGTAGGGATAGGAACAACCACATTGGACCGTGACACTTCTATCGACTAAGGATAACTTCTCTAGTGGTTCGTCATAAATTCATCTAAAGAACTTTGGATAATAGATTGTAAATAACAACTATACATAGAGAGAGACACATTGAGTTTTAAACTAGTGAATGAATTAAAATTAAAATACTTCAGAATTTGTATCAAACCAAACCAATACAGGTTATATGAGTGTCCAAACTTTTTTTTTAGTTCCATCTTCAAAGAGCACTTTTAATTTCTTATTCATTTAAGATTAACTAATGTATAGCTGATTGTTTTCACATTAATATGTGCGCTTTGTTCAACATGTTACATAGTACTAATAATGTAAGTGATAGAGTATTAGTCTAGAGAGAAGTGAGAGCTAGAGAGAAGTACAATTAATATTACTCAACCTCTTACAACTACCCCCAAAGGGGGTATTTATAGGAAAAAAATGGGTTGGGCTCCCAAGTCTTGGGTTTGGGAGGACCCCGGTTCTCGTAGGTCATGGACCATATTCTGAGTTGATTGTTGTTCGGTCGACGGAGTGCCATCTGGCCAACGGAGGGCCACATGGGCGCTGGTGACGCTTTTTTTAGTCTTCTGGGTGTGTGGGTCATGGGGTCTGGACCCATATACTCTATCAGGAGTCCCCCAGTCTCTGAGCTAAGATGCAGACGAAATCAAAGGGAGTAGATCATTGTTGCCTTGATGTTTCTGGCTGACGACGCGTGTCGCCTAGCCTATTGAAGACCGAGGCTTTTCCACGCGCTCGGGTCGGTCCACCTCGAGGAGGGGGAGTCGGGGTGGGAGTAAGATGAAGACGTGTCATGTGGTTCATCCCCCTCGTCGTTGCCTATATTCTTTATCAACGTAAGGGGCGGAGGAGGTGGTGGAGTGGTGTTCTCCCCCGTCCTTGGCATGAGTGCGCTGAGGACAGTGGGGTTCCCGAGCCAAGCTGGCTATGATAGCCGACAGAGCTGCCTAGAGCTGAGGGTCAACCGCGGGAGAAGTCTGTTTTCCCGACGCATGGTCACCCTTCTCCATGCGCTTCTTCTCAAGGTCGATGCACGGTGTCTTGAGCGTTGCCGTTAAGCTGATTGCGGAGGTCAGTCGTGGGGTCAATAGTCTCATGGAAGATTTCTCCGTCTCTGATGTGAGTTTTCTCGCACTTAAAAAGATCGTAATATACCGGTGAAAGTACGAGTATCGTCTCCACGGGGACGGTAAAAGGGAATTAAAAATTAACTAAAAATCAGCGATAAAGAATAAATAAAATAAAATAAATGCGTCGTGCGAGATTGGTTGGTTGAATTAAAATTAAACTAATGCGAGTGAACGATAAAAATAAAAGATTGGGTTCTCTCTAATTAACGACGAAGGGAGCAGGGATTGATTCCGAGGTAATCAGATTTCTCGCAGATCAGGCCTAATTACATAAAATTAATTTAATTGAGCCTAGCTAATCAATACTAAGTTCTTACCGCTCTCGCGGCGTAGAGTACAATAATTTAGGGGACCAGGCTGATCTTTCATGCGACAGGATCCTAAATTATTGCCACGACGAACGAGCTTACAGGCCCTTAATCGTTACTAATCTCTTAGCGAACGATTAAGTGTGTGTGAATGTGTCCTAGAACAAATTAGATCTCTCTTAATTCATTCTACATGCGATTGTAATTCTAGTGGCCATCTAGGTTACAAAAGATATCAATTAAATTATTCAAACACAAATTAAACGGCATTCATGCAACTTACACCATCAAGAACCTAACCATACATCATGATTAACCCCTTCATCAACCCCAAATCCCTAATTAAACTACTCACAATTCATAATTGAAGAATCAACAGAATTGGGAAGAATAGAATAAATTTCCATTAATTAAAAAGATGAACTTACAAATAATCCCAGTGTCTTGGAAGAAAATAACGTAAAAACGGTGTTAAATTCGTCCCTAGGCCTCTCCGTAATGTTCGCCACCCCTAAAAAGGGTTACGGAGGCCTTATTTATAGAAAAGAGGGGGAAAATCACAATTCTGGTCGATGTGGGAAATTTCCGCGCGTAACTCGGGGCTACGCACGATCGTGCGTCCTTGGCTACGCACGATCGTGCGTAGCAGACAGTAGCTCCTCCGCGGTTTTGGCTCTTACGCACGATCGTGCGTCCGTGTTCTTCAGCCTTTTCTCTAGTCCGAATTTGACAAAACTGTCTTCATAAAAGTCGTAGATAATGAAGTCCTCTATCCACCCCAACTTGCCGA